AGAGGGTTGTTGTCGCAGACCCTAAACCCTAAACCCAAAACCCTAAACCGTTGTTGTCGCAGACCCGGCACCCAGGTATCATAGACGATGTCATCGTCCCGAAGGCGCAGCGTGTAGTCGGGATCCAAGTCCTCGTATCCCAGAGGCTCCACATGTAGCATCATTAGGGTTTAGGGTTTACTTGGAGGGTCGGGGGACTTAGTAAGTAGATAATTAGACTTATAAGTAACCTAAAAGGGACTCTAATTGGGGTTATGATACTTATAAGTCTATAAAGTAACTACTTACTAAGTCCCCCGACCCTCTAAGTATGGAATCAGGTCCGAAAACACCATCCTTTTTAAGGTGTTAGGGACCTAATTCCAGAATGGTACTCTATGTGCAGCCTCTGGGTATGTTGAAGGTTCCGTTGATTTTTGAGGTCTGGGGGTCTTCGTAATTAGGGTCTAGGGGTTTAGGGGTTTAGGGTTTAGGGTCTACCTGTAACCTAAAAGACCTTTTAAGGAACTATATTTATAACCCATACTAAGGGATCCTAAGAAGGGAGGTCTTTTCGGTTACAGGTAGGGTTTAGGCTTAGAGTTTGGAACCCTAAACCCTAAACCCTAAACCCTAAACTCTACGGTATGTTTGACAAGGCCTAGGACTCGAAGAGTGGCGTTTGGGTGTCTGCTCCCGGAGCCAGCTGCCACTTTAATGCGTGTAGGGTTTAGGGTTTAAGGTTTAGGGTTTAGGGTTTAGAGTTTAGGGTTTGGGGTTTAGGGGCTGGGGTGTTTGCTGCTGGCCGTGGTCCCATGGCGGATCTGCTTTCTAGAACCCGAAAGACCCGAACAATAACTAAACACCCAAATACCAACCAACTGCAGGGACGTTTTTCCAAGCCCAAGTACCCAACTGCAGGGCACTTTTGCCCTTGGCGGAGTCCTCCGGAACATCGAGATGCGCACCCTGAACCTCCTTGTTCTGGTCCGCTACAAACTGAACATAAGACTCTAGCCCTTCATCAACAGCAACAGCGGCAACCCCTGAACCCTAAAAGCCTTCCAGCAATACAAGCTTTACAATTTGGCATCATTTCACCGAGACTCCTGGATAAGGTCCCAGCACTTGTGCAAAGACTGCCACCTCGGCTACTATAGGTGATGTGGGGGTTTAAAGTCTAGTCTAGGGTTTTGGGTCGAGGTTTCGCAGCTTTCTGCGGAGAGAGGTCATATCACACAAGACACAGAGTGTCTGCTGGCTGGCCCTGCTCTCCTCTCTCGCTCTCTCTCTCTCTCTCTCTCTGTCTCCCTCTCTCCCCTTCTCTTCTTCCTGCGCATCATTCTTAACGCAGCCAGCAGCCGCAATCACTCTATCAGCAAAGCAGCCAAAAGCCCCAAAGCCCCAGAGACCAAGAAGAACTCTGTACAAGCCCTAAGAACACCAAACCCTCAACATATGAAGCTTATAGGGTTTGGGAGTTTAGAATTTGGGGTTTAGGGTTTAGGACTATGAACACCTTTTGTTGACTCGAAGGCAGCAAAGGACTGTACAGAAGACCGCTGACACCACTAATCGACTCCAAGCAGGGGGCCGTAAGCTTTAGCCCGCCAAAAACCGGTCAGCGCCTATCCAGCTAAGCCACTGTTTCACATGGCTCTTCGCACGTGTCTCTGCGTCGCCGTTGTTTTTGCCGAGTTCTCGGACGTACCTCATGTCCACCTGCAGAAGGGTACTTAAAGGATCGTGGGACTTAGTAATTGAGGTTATAAATAAGGTAACTATACTTATAAATACGTATAACCCCAATTAAGGTACTTGTAACCCTACTTACTAAGTCCCAAGATCCTCCAAGTAGTGCATGGGCCTGAATCAATAGAGAGGGGTTTGTAGGGATCTGTAAGAAATGCGGTTACTAACTCGGTATTCAGGCCCCCTGTATCCCTACACCTACTAAAATTCTAAATCCTACTCCCGATAAGCCCGAAACCCAAACCCCTAAACCCTTAAGCCCTATTCCCTAAACCCTGAATCCTATCAACACCGCATCCCTGAATTGAACCGAGGCCCTGAAACATCAAGAATCCCCGAGATTCTTATCGTCTTGCGGTTTAGGGTTTAGGGGGTTGAGGTGAGGGTTTGGGGTTCGAGGGTTTGCAGTTTAGGGTTTAGGGTGTGGGGTTTAAGGGTTTAGAGTTTTCAATAGGATTTAAGGTGTGGGGTTTAAGGGTTTAAAGTTTGGAAACCTAGTGACAGAAAAACCTACATGCATGAATCCTTCGAACGCTACCCAGAGCCAGGGTGTGGAGGGCAGTTTTCCAATTTAATGCGCTGGGGCCACCCTTGAAACCCAAACCTCAATTGCAACGGTTTAGGGTTTAGCGTTTTCAACACAGAAGCCTAAACCCTGAACCCCTCCACCCTAAATCCATAAACCCTCAAACCCCAGACTTCCAACCCCTAACACACCAAACCCTAAATTACTAAACCCCTAGGCCCAAGCCCTTTGTCCCTAAACCTCTCAATCCGGTTTAGGGTTTGGGGCCCCTAAACCCCAAAACCCGAAACCTTGAACCCCCCACCTGGTACAGAGTTGGCTTGAAGGGCTCCACTATGACCGAGACAGAGGCCGGAAAGCCATGCTCGATCTCTTTGAGCTTGCCTTGCATCGAAAAAGTGCAGGAACATGCATTCGTGCTTACGGTTAAGGGTCTAGGCTTTAGGCTTTAGGGTTTAGGCTTTTAGGGTTTAGTGTTTGGAACAAGGCGGATCTGTTCTACTGTGCCTTTTAGGGAGATGCTATACTCTACCTATCACTTAACACTCAGTAGCCCAATCGAAAACACTTATTATCTATTTCCTAGATCTGGGCTTTGAAGTAACCACGGGAAACAGTTTGCGCGTTTCATAGAAAAGGGATTTAGGGTTAGAATTTAGGGTTTAGGTTTAGTTTCATAGAAAAGGGATATGGTACTCCAGAGCCCAGATCTTGTTCTGACTTAAGTAAGGTCAGAGCAGTCGCGGCGTCGGCTTCCCTACCCTATGGCTCCTAAGGACAGAACAAGTGAGCTTCTTAGGGTTTAGGGCTTCTACAAGAGCTCGAATTACAAAGTTTCTATATAAGATTCTTTATAAGGGTATGAAAGGTCCAAAGGACCGAACGATTGGGTATTTGAAAGTAGGATAAGTGGTTTCGCAATTTCGTAGGCTACTATATCGGGGAGTGTGTGATCATTAGGCACGTGGACTTGAAGGGCCAGCGGACGTAGCAGGTTATTAGGGTTTAGGGATAAGTACCTTAATTAGGGTCACCAGTACTTAGAAGTAGAACTATCCAGTTGAAAATCCTACTTGCGAAATCACATGATCCTGTAAACCTGTGTCAACAAGTTTTGGACCCCTCGGAGTACTTGCAAGAGGAATGGCACGGGCTGGCGATCAAATCAATGCAAGTGCGGGAACCTTTCCCTTTAGGTTTAGATCCCAGCGCTTAGGGTAATTTGCTTTAGGGTTTAGGGTTTGGGGTTGAGGGTTTACCTTAGCCCCAAATATCCTACCTTTTTATGGACTTATATCGAGAATTCATAATAAGGGACCCTAAAAAGGTAGGTTCTTTAGGGTCCAGGTAGGGTTTAGGTTTTAGGTTTTATAGGGCTCAAACACAAGGTTTTGTCGGATCGCTAAACCCTAAACCCTAAACCCTAAACCCTAAACCCTAAACACTAAACCCTAAACCCTAAACCCTAAACCCTAAACCCTAAACCAGGTTTCGGGGGACCTAAGGGCGGACGGAATCCTGCAGTCCACAAGCATTATAACATGGTTCCTCTAGATTCAGGTTTAGGGTTTAGGGTTTAGGGTTTAGGGTTTAGGGTTTAGGGTTTAGGGTTGGAACGCTATCTTCCTAAGGTAGCCTGGAAGGCCTGGTTTGAAAATAAGGCAAATAAAGGTAATGTAAAGGTAAATAGAAGCTGAATCCAAGGTAGTTCGATGCTCGCTAGGATGGTCCTAGAAAGCTACATAAAAGGCAAAACAAAGCTAAACAAAAGCTAAGTCAATGTGGGCTTTCTTGACCCTGGGAGGAAACCCGAGTCAAGCCCTACAAACTTGATACTACTAAGTTACTACTATTTACTTTACTATTCAATATTCATAACAATCCAGTCGTATTTGGTCCTCTCGGATGTTAACAAAGCACCAATCAGTCGAGAATGCAGGACTGCAGGAGTCTATGCTTCGATGTGGCCTCTACATTTCTACTAAACTAAACTCGCTGGCTCTGACCGAACCGGTCCAAACCTCGACTCAAGCCAAACCGTTCAGTAGGACCTATAGCTTATACTAGCTTATACTTATACATGGCAGGCAACTGGAGCCTTCATTTTGGCAGCATGCTCCACATGCTTTCAGAGCGGTTGTCAGGTGGATCAGAGTCTCAGCTGGGCCTGTGTTGCCCATGAACTTGTCATGCTGAGCGATCGAAGTCAAGGTTACAATGGTGCGTCCCCCAGGTTGCGAAGCCATATAAAATCTCAGCCACTGTTCAGATGTATCTAGCGAGCTGAGACAGCATCTAACGTCCCCAACTGAAACTAACAGGCGGACTGGAGCACAACGAGGTGGACTGAAGCAGCACCCATACGTCCTCACAGGAAAAAGTAGGTGGATCAAATTCTCAGCTGGGCTTCTTGCCCATGAACTTGTCATGCTGAGCGATCAAAGTTAAAATGGTGTGTCCCCCGAGTTGGTCGATTCTAGTCCAAAGCTGTGCATTAGTCACTGTCAAGTCACTATTCACTATTATCGAAGCAATCCAATACGTTTAGTAGTAGTCACCGCAGTCAGAAGTTTGAACGACTCCACATTTAGACGACTGACTAACAGAGCGAGTGCATCTAAAATGCAACAACTGCAACCAACAAGGTGGACTGGAGCACCTCCTCGTTTGTGAGGTCTTTTCAAGCAGCATCTTTACATGCTTTCAGGAAAACAGGGTGGATCAAGTTTTCTGCTGGGCCATCCTTGCCCATGATCTTGTCATGCTGAACTTTCAGAATCTTGTCCCTGTTGGACTTGACCTTCTGCTCCAACGCCGAAAAGATCATGCCCTCGATGATGACTGCATAGCACTGCTCCGCAAGCGCCTTTGCATTCTTGACAGCATCCTTCAGCGCAGCCACAACTGCATCTGGAGCAGTTGCAAGCGCTGCTTCATGCTTGTCCAAGAATCCTTCAGCGATTTCAATCTCCTGTTCACAGTGAAGCAATCAGAATCATGCTGACACTCCCTTGCTGCCCTACTGAGATACTCGTGCGACTGCTCCCTTCCCAACACCCTCCCCAAACCTTCATTGCAGCATCACGAGACTTGCGGAGACCATTGCCATCGAAGTTGGCAAACTTCTCACGTGCTTTGGCCGTGACGTCCATGATGCTGGAGTCATCCTGGAGGCTTACTTTCCAGCAGGTGTCTGGGTCTGCCATGGTGAGGCCACCGGTTGCTTTGCGCATCGCCGCCATCGCAGGGTTCAAGTCCTCACGCGCCCGGTCACATCGGAGAGCAACAATGGGCTGGCATTGCAGAGCGATCTGGAGGTAGTCCTTGGTGAAGGCGATCTTCAGGGGCAACGGCTTGTCAATGTCGGCAGCATCCTCCGCTGCAACCGTAGCCGCCTTCATTGCCAGCGGCACCTCGAGAGACTCTGCCTTCTTGACCATGCGAGCGATGCTGCCGCATGCCCGGGTGTATGCCTCGAAGAGCATGGCATTCTCGTCCTTCTCGAGCTGATCCTTCTCTGAGCCAAGGTCCTCAAGTCTCTTGACCGCAGAGCGCAGGACGAGGACTTCCTCACCGAGGGCAAGCTGCAACATTACCCAATCGTACATGGGGTGGCGAAGAATGCTGAGAATCTTCTTCAGCATCAGCCCCTCCTTTTTGATGGCTTGTTGACACCGAGCCACGTCTTGAAGAGATGCGGCCTTCACCTGCCCACCGACGAATCCCTCATGAAGTGGCCCCAGTCTTAATTCCAAAGTCCAACAACACAACAATTATTGGGAGGAGGCTCCTGTGTGCCCATGTAATCGAGCATGATGCACAGGAGCTCCTCGACGTCCTTGGCATTGGCATCCATGGAGCCTGTGTCTCGCAAGGCCTCCACCAATCGAAGCCCATCAGCAAAAGAAAACTGTGCCCAGTCCAGCTCCTCACCATGCTGGCGCTTGAACTTCCGCAGGATTTCCTGTAGCTCGCGCTGCGTCAGGGCAGCAAGGTTGTCAGCCTTCCAGCTTTTCAGCGTGACTACGAGCTCTGCAACGGGGGCTTGCGAACTTGGGGACGGTGTCATTGAGCTCAAGGAAGCCACCAGCCAATCGATGTCGATGGCCTGAAGCACACCGTCAGATCCAGCAGCATCCACGCTCAAGATCTGGGAGGCAACATCTTGCAAAACTGACAAGGTCTCGGCTTCCAAGGTGGCCAATCCTCCTGGACGGAGGTTCCTCAAGAGTCGCTGGCGGGCACCCATTGCGCCCTTGATCGCCTCAGCTTTCTGGACCACATTCCCTGCTTTGCGCAAACTCTCCAGAAGCTGTTGGATCTCCGCAGCAAGCTCGATGTCAGCTGTTGCTGCTCGTCGTGCTGCCTCCAGCTTCTGCTTCCAGTACGCAGAGGATGTCAGCTGATCCTTCAGCTCAATGAACATGTAGGCGAAACTCGCATCCTTCATCGCAGCCTCAACGTGCTCCATGGAAGACTCCAGGTGTAGTGGGATCGGTGACAAGAGCACAATGAGGCTCTTGCACCACACAGTCACTCGCTGAATGGCATCCTCAAAGGGAAGGGCACTGGCTGGCAAGTCCAGAGGCACTGGCTGCACATTGAAAGCTGTGAGGATCTTTTCTGCCAGCTGTAGCAAGAAGGCCTCGGCCGTCTTGGCATTCTTCTGGACAGATGGGGCCACATCGCTCTCACCCAACTTAGCCACCAAAGCTAGCAGGCCAACCACCGGCCCGGAACCGACGCACGCCAACAAGCCTTCAGCCATGGCCTCACAGGTACACAACTTGACTTGACCTAATTAAAGACCACTACCCAAGCAGCATAGGCCTAGGGCCTCAGCCCAGGCATCTGCGGAACTAAGAGTATAATTAATTCATTATCATTATAATATTAGTAAATTAGCAAAGACATAGCAGACATAGCACCTAGCAGCAACTAGCAGCTAGCAGCTACCAGCTACCAGGTAAGTAGTGATAAGTAGTGAGTACTGAGTACTGAGTAGTGAGTAGTGACTCAGGACAGACAGACACACAGACAGACAGACACACCTGTGCCCCCACACACACATACGTAGACACATAGTTGCTGGCCCAGGTGATATCAAAACATTACAATCGCCGCCCACCCCAGCGCACTCATCGCTAGACACCAAAGTGTCCATTGTTTACCGCATTCACCGCCTCCCAACTGACAGGCATCGGCTCTGGTAGATCCTGCAGCTCCTCCTTCGCCATCATGTCCCAGCTGCCAACGCCGGGATCGACTCTGGCAATGGCCTCCAGGATCGTGTCCTTCATGGTGGGCGCAAAGTAGTCGAAGCCTGCACAGTGCGTGGCAAAGGGGGTCACCATGTTCAGGAAATCAAGGATAGCCCCATCTGACATAGTCTCCACCATGTGCTTGGACTGTGCACTGACCGCAGCTGTGAGCACCTTCAGCTTGAGGCTGTCTGTTGGTACCACAAGTGAGCCTTCCGGATCCGACTTCAACAACTGATATCGCTTCTTTAACTCCTCGGGGTTCAAAGTCCTCAAGTCCTTGGTCTGAACCAGATCCTTGATTGCCTCCATGAGCGCGCACCGCCGCGTGAGCAACTTGGCTAGGCCTTCGTCTTGGATCGATGGCAAGAGGCGCTTTGCCTCAGTTGCAAAGAGAGGAATGGCTGATCACGACAGGAAGCTGAGCATCTGCATCCACAGACTGCTACAACTCAGCTGCCCACAGCAAAAGTCTGATTGCCAAGCTTGATACCCAACATGGCCTGTGTTGGATTCAAGCACTTCAAGCAGTCAGGAACCGTCTGCAGGTACAGGGCCACCTTCATCATGGGGAGGTCATGGGCAAGGGCTTGCCGGATGAACTCGTCGTCTTGTTTGCTGCCTCCAACCCCAGACTCTTCGTCAGCTTTGGACACCTTGCTTGCTCTGCTTCTTGGAGGGTTGGACTCCTGCTGCGAAAACTCAGAGACCCCTGCTGCGCTGGCCGGAGTCTTTCTTCGCCTTTTTGGTGCAGGAGCTGCCGCTCTGGCTGCAGGGCCGGCTTCTGCAGTGTCCACCGCAAAGGCTTGCAACCGGGTTTTTTTCTCCTCGTCCACAATCTCCACCGGGGGTTCTGGGGGTGCATCAAGACCAGCCAGCGCGAGAGCCTCTGAGATCTTTTCCTCTTGCGCTCGCTTCTGCTCGTCCCGCTTCGAAACTCTGTCACGCAGCTCAGTCAAGGTCTTGATGTCGCTCAACTTGCCAACCGCGGGAAGCCCCTCGTCCTGGGCAACACGCCTCTTCTCCAGCAACGTGAGCAAGGCACTGCCCTGCTCAGCCTGGATTTGGTTGTGTCCCTGCAGCGCTTTCTTCGCGTGCAAGGTTGAAGTCTCGCAAAACAAGCGCACTCGGCGAAAGCTCAGCCACTGCATCACGCTGATGTCCTCGGGGGGGTCACTGGCACTCAAATAGCACCCATGCAGCAGAGTCTGACCATCCTCTGCTGTTCGCTGGATAATTGGCAATCCCAGAGACTGTGGGGTCCCTCCAGTGTAGCGGAGGACCTGTGCTGGCGAGAGGAACAAGATGTCCACATACATCATTTCGCCACACATGTGGCGACTGTCCTTGGAGAGGACCACCAGGGCCGATGGACCAACAAACCCTCAATCTACACTTAAGCCTCAAGAAGCCAACAAACCCTGGGAACTTGTGATCTTGAAACCAGCAAGTGCAGCAAGAGTCGACTTCGCTCGGGGGCCGATAGACTTGTGCCTTCTCGGGCTCCCCATCCTCAATGTGGATCAAATTATTGATGGCTTCATCCACCCGGGCATTGAACACAGGGCTCTCCACGCACAGAACGCAACCTTCTTCCCACTCCACCCCGCAGCCCGTGACCACAGCCACATAGCAGCGTAGGCAAGCATCATGTGCTTTTTGAAAATCACGCGCCTGATGATCTCAGAGCGTTTGTCCGATTGTCCAATGCAAAACTTCTTCAAGGCATCTGTAAATTGTCTAGGTGCAGAAGCTTCGAAGCTCGAATCTTACGCTAGGCTAGACACCCCAAAGCTTTCAGTGCAGCGGGCCCTCCTTGCTGGAGATACCACATCGCCTGCAGAAGAGTTCTTCGCCACGTGCACGTTTGGGAGCTGGTGGAGCCGGAGCTGGAGCTGGTGGGCCCTTTGCCCCCTTCTTGGCGGAAGAAGCTCTACCTCTGCCCTTGCCCCGGTCCTTATATAAGCATCGATGGGCTGGTCAGCAGCGGCTACTTGTTACTTGTTCACCTCACACGCAATCAGTGCTGGCAAAGCAACGGCCATCTGTCAGCAGATCAGAGAAAAGGCTGGTCAGCCACAGACACTTGATTCACTTGATGATGCCGCTGAAGCGAACCCAAAAACAGCAAGAGACCAAATGGTAGCACACAGTGGGGCAACAGAATCAGCTGCTGGCTGCTCTGAAACAGACAATGGCTTCTGCCCTGCTCAAACATGTTTTTTCTAGGTGCAGCACTGTTCGGTGCACGGTCACGGAAGTGTGGCAACAGGATGCTGGGCGGGCCGTCTCTGACATTACAATACAAGATGGACATACAGCCTTCAGTTCATGTCACAAGCACAACACCGGCGCCACAGCAAACCACACGAGAAGCCTCTCTTTAGAGAATTCGGGCACAACTGTCTCGAGTCATCAGCTTGGGTCCAAGGTCTTTCGGCTTCGTTCGAGGGGTAAGTATTGTACTACCGGTGCAAGAAAAGCAGCCAAAGCTGTGAGGTGCTGGAAACGAAGGACCAAGACGAGTTTGTGCTGTGCAGCCGACACCTCACCAGCATCATACCCTCCGGAGCTGTACAGTCCGAAACACAAGTTGGGAAGACGCAGGTGGATGGTTGTGGACACCACATGCTGAGTCTACGAGTCTACGATCTGGTGAGAGCGCTCTAGCATATGGCATATGGATTCTAGACACTACATGAGGCGCTGAGGTGCTCAATCGTTCGAGCGCTGCTGCAGTGTGGGATCGGGGCTACTGATGCTGGCTGTGAGACTTCTCAGGACCCGCACTAGTAGCACGGGATGGCACACATGCATCAACGAGCTGACAGTCTAAAGCCTGCACTCCTGAAACTACCAGTGTTCGTGAAGCCTTGGCAGAGCCTGCAGTAGAGATCCCCACAGCCACTGATGCGTGTGTGCTGTGCGCGCTGTTTGGCAGGAGTCACACAGAAGTTTCGGCAAAAGCGCTTGGGCTAAGATCCCACGCGAGACGTCCCTCCAGGTCTGCCACACCGAAACCAGAGCATGTTGGCAGTAGGCAAGGATCTGTTCGGGTTTGGGGCTTGGGCTAAGTCATGTAAACCCTAGCAACAGTCACTAGTCACTAGTTTCTTCCGGGGGCACTATCAAAAAGCAACAACGGAGAACGACGTGCAGCCAGTAGCAGGACCCAGGGACCCAGGGGATATTCTAAGGTTCTAGATTCTAGATTCTAGAATAAGAGGAGACTCAACGTGGGATAGCCCGCGGATTCTGCAAGGACAACGAAACAAATGGCCGCCTCTGCCCAACCCAAAAAACATTCTGAGCTTGAAGTGTAGCCTGAAGATCATGTTCCCACTGTGACTCTGCAGCAGATGTTGTTCTACATGAAGAACCCCAGGGGCCTTGGTGTCTAGAGCTTGGGTTCTAGGACCTGGACCTAAGCCGAAGCCTAAGCCTAAACCTAAGCCTAAGCCTAAGCCTACGGTTATGGATATCGTAACTATGGCTATGGCACTATGGGAAACTATGACTACTGAGCACCCTCAACTAATAACTGCAATTGGGGCACCGGCCTTTCGGCAAGAAGCATTCAAGGATGTTCAGTAAATACAGTCTGGGGCCCGGGGCTGGGGTGTGAGCAAACTCCTGTGGGCATAGTAGCTACTCAGCTACTCTAGACTCTAGACTCTGGACTATAACTATAGTGACTATAGACTCCAGACCTCAGACTCGCTGCTGCTGGGTCACTGTGACGGGCAGGGGCTGTCATCCCTGGATGCGCTGGCAGGCAGGGATCTCATGATGTGTAAAGCCAATAACACTGAGCCCACGCACGGAAGGCTCATGCTGGCCCCGATCATGCGTTTCCAATCTTGCGGTCGCAGAGAATCGGGAAGCTGTACTACCTGTGTGAATCCTAGCATGGCCAACATCTCTTGTGGCAGGACAATTCGATCCTGGCCAAAGTGATACAGCTCTGTACTAGATGTAAAGCATGGCCCGACACCCTCGTCAGAACTGTAATTGCGCCTTGCATGGCTTTGGCTGACATCTAGGAAAACCTTTGTCAACTCCTTGGCACGGTCTGCACCAGGTCCTTCCTTGCTGCAGAGGATCCGAGCAGCTGTCACATTCATCAGATCCTGGATGCGCTCTGTCAAGCGCACTCCCTCACCCAAGAAGCTCGGCCTGGATGTCCACGGTGCAAATGACGTGCTGACCCCTAAGAGATCCCGTATCTCATGAGACAGCAGCTTCCACTTTCGCTCAGGAACACCAAGTGGCTCTGGAGCTGGCTCCAGCTGCCACACCTGCTGCAGTCACTCGTCTGCCATAGACAGCCAGCAGAACTGCGCAAGCAAGCAGCATAATTAGCTGAGATTTTGGAGGAAACACAGCAGCAGCAATAGCAACGGCCCTAAGTACCAACAACGACAGTTGCGACAACAGAAACAATAGTAAGTGCTGCCAGTACCGAAGGGTGGCCTGCTAGAATCTGCTAGAATCTAGAATCTAGAACTGGGACAACATGCTTCAGAACGGTGCCGGCCCAGGACACAGGACCTGGGAACTGTTGGGGCCCCGCTTGGCTTAGTCGGGGCAGTCTTTTGCAATCACCTTTTTGGCAGCTTTTCGGGATGCAGAGGTTTACCTTTTCTTTAGCTTTTTGTCCAGCTTTGTGCTTGGCTGACGTAGCTTTTGCACAGCTTTTTTTTGGCATATTTTTAGCTTTTTTTTAGCTTTTTGCTAAGGAAACACAAGGTGCACCGTCCCGAGCCATTGTGGGCAAGCAGGGCGCAATCGGAGGCCTGGAAAAGCTAAAAAAAAGGTACCGGAAAGCTACAGGAAAGGCAAATTCGACGCCCCACAAAAGCTGCCAAAAAGGTGTCCCTCCCGCCCCCTCCCCGGCCCCACCCTTCCCGGGCCGTACTGGGGAAGG